ACATTTGGACTCAACTTTTTAACATTGTCACGTTTTGGTAGAAAAGTGCTTATCTCACCGAGATGAGCACTTAGTGCAAATTTTTGAATTATTTCCGCCATATTTCGAGTACTGTTCCGAAAACCTTCAAACTTTCAATGGAATAGTGTGTGTTTCAGGCTATCTCACAGTGCCTAACTAAAAAAAAATTACATTTAGACTCAACTTTTTAACATTGTCACTTTTTGTTAGAAAAGTGCTTATCTCGCCGAGATGAGCACTTAATGCAAATTTTAGACGTATTTCCGCTATATTTGAAGTACTGTTCCGAAAACTTTCAAACTTTCTATGAAATAGTGTTTGTTTCAGGCTATCTCACAGTGCCTAACTAAAAAAAAATTACATTTGGACTCAACTTTATAACATTGTTAATTTTTTGTACAAAAGTGCTTATCTCGCCAAGTTGAGCACTTAGTGCAATTTTTTAAAATTTATTTTCGCTATATTCGGAGTACTGTTCCGAAAACCTTCAAACTTTCTATGGAATAGTGTTTGTTTTAGGCTATCTAACTAAAAAAAATGACATTTTAGCTGAACTTTTTAACATTGTCATTTTTTGTATAAAAGTGCTTATCTAGCCGAACCCTTAGTGCAAATTCTTGAATTATTTCCACCATTTCTCGAGTACTGTTCCGAAAATCTTTAAACTTTCAATGGTATCTGTCTCTTATACACATCTCGGAAGCGGTAGTATTTTGAATTTTTCTCTGGACTTGTCATGATGTTAGGCAGTTATAAACATACTCCTTGGAAGTATTTTAGCAGTACTGTATTCACTATTAAGTGGTAAGAGTTGGTTTTGTTTTATTGTTTTATTATTTAATTAGTTTACCACTCTAGCAGACACGCTAGCCTCCTCCTGGCCTAGTAGTAGTGGTAGATGAAGAGGCGCCTGGCCTAGCCTAAGGCCTAGGCCTAGCTGTAACGGTAATACTAGCCTAGCCGCTGTACAGAGACTGAGAACTGAGGTTCTCTCTAGGCCATTGAGGATATAGGGCTAGGCCTAGAACCTGGGCCTTTTGTTGGCCTAGCCAAGTTGTAAGTTAATTGCCCTATAGTCTAGCATGCCATAAGAAGAGTGGTAAATTGCATTTGGGCCGTGTCCTCACTATTATTAAATGTCCATGATGCTTTAATAAAATAATGGGTTTAGGGTACAACCGGAGAGGGGGTGGTGTAAAGAATTGTATCATTATTTGCAGAAAGTTAATGTATTAAATCTCTAGGCCTATACTAACATAAGTGGTGATTTTATTTCAGGATACTCAAGTCTCAGTTACTATCGTAATTAAATGAAAACTCTATCCGGTCAACTCAATCTTGTAGTTGAAAGCATTAATGTTTGTTTAAAGACGTATCTGTGAAGGAACAGAAAATTACCTGACATTCTATAGTGCTTTAATAAAATAATCGGTTCATGATTAACCGGGATAGTCAACCGGGGGTGGGGGGGTGTAAAGAATTGTATCATTATTTGGAGAAAGTAATGTAATCAAAAGGCCTATACTAACAAAATAAATGGTGACTTTATTTCAGGATTCTCAAGTCTCAGTAACTAGTCAACTCAATCATTGTAGTAGGAAAGCATATTAATGTTTGTTTGAAGACTTATCTACATGAAGGAACAGAAAATTACATGACTTACTAAAGGTGAATATAATGTTTTGTTGACGTTTTATTTAAACTGTCCTGTACTATTAATTATTAACAACATGCTATAGATGATGCTATAGTTTACACGATAGAGGTTAGTCAAATTTAATGTGTATATATTAGGCCTATATAGGCCTTAAGTGATATTGAAATTGTAATGTAGGCTAAAAGCTGTTTTGAGAACTACTTCTTTATTAAAAAAAAAGTAACTGCTGTCTGTCATTAGCTACATATGTATATTACTCCTATTTCAATACAATAATAAAGGGATGTAATACATTTAATAGCGGTTTCTATAATATGCACTCTATATACTGTATAAGTTTACCATTATTATTCATTTTAAAGATTTTGTTTTGTTATATCTTTCAGCAAGAGTGAACTCTGAAAAATGTTAGTACAAGTCACAGTGATTCAATATTTTAAAATAGATTTGTTCAACGTCATAATTCATACTAATTTAGCTTGGTACCATCGGACAAGAAAAGGCATGGTTATGGACAGTTGCTGCTGCAATATCACAAA